CTTCAGCTTTGTGCTTCTCGGAGTAACTAACCCAAATAACCAAAGATCCACATACAAATACCCGCAAAAACCTCAGAAAACACACACACACACACACACACATATATATATATATATATATGAAATAATTCGAGGACTACCCATAGAAAAAAGAAACGCAGGGCATTGCAAAATAAAATCAGGTCACCTTCGTTTGAGCCGGCGCCCACGTTGGATTCCGTTCCCAAATTGGATTTTTCAAGGCTACTTTTCTTCACCTCCGTCGCAGACTCTGCAGAAGATTGAGAGGGAGCAAAATGGAGAAAACGAAAGCGATTCGAAGTGTACTATCCCATGCAGGTTAAGTCCTTGACTTACAATGGTTCGTTTAGTGACCATTCCAAGTTACGACGGCACTAAAATAAAGGGACTTTTTCCACAGTGATGACCGTTGTTGTAGCATCCCCATGGCCACATATTCAAAATTCAGGCGCTTGGCCACTGATTCGATTTATAATGGTTGTGGAATCCCGTGATTCCTTTTTTGTGTCCTACTGGGCAAGCCGAGTCAATGGGGGGAAGCCAGGCTCACTTAATGACCGTGTGACTAATTTAAGAAATGCAGGGAAAGTCGTAAAATATCACTTAACGAATTTCTCACTTAACAACACATGTTTTGGGCTCAGTTGTGGTTGTTTAAGTTGAGGATTATCTGTGCATTAAAATAAAACACAAATACAAGAAAAAGCCCTTGGTTCTACAGCTGGTCCTTGACTTATGACTGCAATTGAGCCCAATAGGTCTGTTGCTAAAGGAGACAGTTGTTAGGTGATTTTTGATCCATTTTACGAACTTCCTTGCCCCAGTTAAGCAAATCATTGCAGTTGTTAAGTTACTAACCTGGTTGTTAAGTGAATCCAGCCTGCCCCATTTACTTTGTTGGTCAGAAGGTCGTAAAAAGGGGCAATCGCATGACCTTGGGATACGGCAACGGTTGTAAACATGAACCCGTTGTCAAGCACCTGAATTTTGGGGCTGCTGCAATGGTCAGAAGTGTGAAAAACGATCATAAGTCACTTTTTTTCAATGCTGTTGTAACTTTGAACAGTCACTAAATCATCTGCTGTAAGTCAAGAACTATCTGTATGATAGGCAGGATGATGATCAAATAGCCAGGAAACCCGACTGTAAGATTGCTTGGCTGTTCGGGCTGATCATCATCTCCCTTTTAATGTCCCCATAATCCCTTTGTCGGGGCAACTGAATGTAGCTGAGTGTTTACCGGCCGGGTGCCCTTCATATCCCCAATGTGGAGTTTTGTTCAGCAGGTATATTCTCATCGCATTAGGAGAGAGAAATTATCTGCCTCTACCTAGGATTGAACTCACGGCTTCCTGATTGTGAGACGAGAGTGCCAACCCTAGGCCAACGTACCACTCATGCTCGCACCAATTCCGGCAAGCAATTTGATTGTTACTCGAGATGAATTTTGAGTCTTGCCCGATAAAGAAAGAGAAATTAAAATCCACACACCTGCCTTGGACGATTTCTCTCCTTCCGCAACTCCGACGTCTTCTGGCTGCGGCAGGGAAGTGTCTTCTTCTACGTCGCCTCCTGCAAAAAACAAAAAGAAAAAGGCCGGAAAGCTGATTACAGGAAGTCCTCAACGTACAACCATTCATTTAGTGACTGTTCAACGCTACAAACGGCACTGCAAAGAGGAAAAAAAGTGAATTATAATCGGCCCTTTTGCTTGGTCTCACAATTGTCTTTTTAGGACAATCCCAATGTCCCCAAGACGCACACAGTTGCTACATCTTCTTTCCTTCACGATTGAACTGAGAGTTGTGAGTCCGACCACAACCGGCCTCACCTTCTTTAGGAAACACAACTTGTCGACGTGAGTCATCCAACGTTTGCCCCGGTCCAGATTTGTCCCGGCCTGGGATCTGTTCAAACATGAAAAAAAAACAAAAACAGAAAGCAAACTATTATTTCATTGGGACTTAGTCCAGCAACGGTAGTTGTGTATTTGTGCAGTTTGTGAAGGTCTTTTTGTGCCTACTTCAGGTAGACCTTGACATAAGACAGTAATGGGGGCTGCCTTTCGCAATTGACCGTTCCGGGATTTTGTCAATGTCAATGGCGTTCAATTATTATTGTGGTTCATCGCAAAGTCAGCCAGGTGTTTAGATGGGATTTGGCCTCTTGGGTCCTCCCCAAGGACCTGCGATAGGCAGGTGTGGATGTTTGACGTTGTCGAACGTCTCATTGCAGGATGTTGGCTGCTCCCTTCCGAAATTGACCGACGGGGGGATTTTGTCAATGCCCATCAGCCAATTGCCAAAAAGCAGTTTTACCTGGAACAATTGACATTCTGGTGCTTTGGGGAATAGGCTAAACCCCCTCTTATTTGTGGCAGCCCCTCAAATATTAGAAGACCGATATTGTGTGTGTCCCGGTGCCTCAGAATTATGAATGATGTATCTCAGAGTCGGCTACAACCAGGCAGTGCTGGCTTGTTAACTCTCAATAAATCCTTTTTTAAGTTTTGGAAGTTTGGCCCTCGAGGCGCATGATTTAAAAAGAGGGTAACTGCTGGAATCCTGACACCGAGTCCTTCCTTTCACTAGACTAGACACCCCCAATTCCTGCAACCATTCTTCGTACGCTTTAGCTTCGTGTTTTTAGACCATTTATTTGCTGCAAATAAAGGTTTCTTTATCGTGCACTGAGCATCGAAACCGGAGGAGCAGGTAAAATGTGCAAACTTGTTCACAGCTAAAAAGTTGTGCGGTGCCTCTGTGCGTGTGTGTGTATGTGTGCGTCTTGCGGCAAACAAAGAAACTCCCATCCCATAACACACACCTGCACAGAGAGAGTTTCTTTAGGCCACAGACTGCCCCAGATCCACTGCAGGTAGCTGAAAAGGACGATGACGCTGAGGAACATGAAATTGCTGGCGACTCCCAAAATGGCCGACGTGACAGGGAAATTGTACAGGAGATACCTGTGGGGCCGAAGACATGAAAAACGATGGGTTATGAGAGTTCACCTTCCTGTATCTCAGTATCTCGATCCTTCGGTTTCAGCCTTAGTCGTCAAATTTTGTTTTCCTTGAATGGTGTGAGGTTCTCCTGGACTGGCCTTCTCTCTTAACTTCAGAGAAATGGTCGTAAGTCGAGGATTGTCTATATGCAAACAATCTATCCACACCTCTGGTCTACTGGATAGCTGTCCATCCCACCCCTCAAAAGGCTCCAGAGAAGAACCAGCTCTTCAAGTCTCTTACAAATCTTAGCATCGGTCTGGAAATCTAGAAATTAACAGGGTGGATATTCACGTCGACTCAACTGGTGAGATTTGAGCAATTCACAGCTATTGCAACACCTGCGTCTGTGACTCTAAAAAGAGGTGTTTTTTTTTATTTTATTTTAAAAAATCTCCTGAAATTCGCTCGGATTTGCCGGGCAACCCTAAAGTTCTCCTCCATTTCCAATTCAAACCAGAAAGTCTTCCCCTCCTTTATTTGCGGGGGGGAAAATAAAATAAGAATTTTCTCCTTTCCCAGCCATTCAACGTTGAGTCTTTCTCTCTCTCTCTTACCGCAAACCAGTGAAATGTGCGTGAACTCTAAGGTGTGCCCCATAAATCTGAATTCTAGTCGTTTGGATTTCAATCACTGCCCCAATGGTGGGAACATACTAAAAGGAAAAGAGAAAAATTAAATTAAACACAGACAAGACTGCTTCCCCCCCCCCGCTTGTTATGTTACTGTCTCAGATTATTGACCAATCACAGGGGCTACGAATTAGAGGAGAAAAATTCCATGCTCAAACACTCTCCCAGTAGTCCTTGACTTACGACCACAACGGAGTCCAAAGTTTCTCTTATTTTAAGTGAGTTTTGCCCTATTTTACAGCATTTCTTGACACTCTTATGGTCTAAGCTGAGCCAGGATTCACAGGGATCTTAGTCCCCTCTAGTGGAAATTCAAGGATCAAACAATTAAAATTTGTTTAAAAAAAAAAAAGTATCACAGACCCGTTTCTGAATCTCATTAAGCTTTCAGATGGGTGGACTTCAACTCCCAGAATTCCCCAGTTAGCATGCTTTAAGATATGTGGACTTCAACTCCCAGAATTCTCCAGTCATCATGCTTTAAGACGGTTAGACTTCAACTCCCAGAATCCCCCAGCCAGCAGGCTTTAAGATATGTGGACTTCAACTCCCAGAATCCCCTAGATGGATGAATTCCCCAGCCAGCTTTTAAGAGGGGTGGGCCAGAGAATTCTGGGACTTGAAGTCCACACATCCTAAAGTGGCCAAATTGAGAAACACTGAATTACAGCATTGCAACACTAAATAATTCAGACTACCCCAGCTTGACACACACAAACACACACACACACACACACACTTCCAGAAGTGCCGGATTTCAACGCCCACGGGCCAGATTGGCAAATCACAAATCCAGCGTGTCAGGACAGCTCTAAACCAACATGTTGATTTGATCTCAGCAGAGACCAGAGATCAAATCTCCGCTCAGCTGGTTATTTTTTTTTTTTTTAACCTACGGGAGCCTAGAGCGGGTCAGATAAAACAGAGCCTTCTTTGATAATGCAGCTAGTCCTCACCGTCCAACCACCAAGGAGTCCCACATTTAGGTCACTAAGTGGAGACTTTAAAAAAAGGTCTTTTGCCGTTTTACCCCCTGGCGGGCCCCCCCCCCCCCCCCCCGTGATTAAGCGAACCGCTGCCGTCATTCAGTGAGTCACATGGTTGTTAAGTGAATCAGGTTTCCCCACTGACTGTGGCTGGTTATAAATATGAGCCAGCTGCCAAGCATGGGGAATGCTGCAATGGTTGTAAGTGTGAAAAACGGTCACAAATCCCTTTTTCTCAGTGCTGAGGTAACTCTGGCCGCTAAAACCAAGCAGCTGTAAGTTGAGGACCGCCTGTACAATGAAGCATTCAGAGTTTTTTAAGGGGGACGAAGAGGATCTCACCGAATCTTCTTTGTAATCGGAGTACAGTTCAACGTCCACCGTTTGTTTCTGTTCTGTAAACCCAGCTAGGAAGAGGCCGGAGAAAGCCAGCGTGTCGAGCATCTGTAACAATCCCGAACGGTAGTGCAACATGGCCTAAAACAGGAAGGAAATTCACCAATCAGAGGTCAACAATCCAGGAATTAGAGTCTTTTCTGATTTCGATAGAAGTGTATTTGTGGCTAGTACTGATGATGTTACCTAGTTGGGTCAAGAAACGTCTGCAAGAAAGCAACCAAGCTCAGAGAGCACCAAGGACCTCACAGTTGTTCCTCCTCCTCCTCCTCCTGTTCCTCCCTCTTCCACTCTGCAAGCCCCACTGCCTTCTAACCCTAATGGTGTTACCTAGTTGGGTCATGAAACATCTGCAAGAAAGCCACCAAGCTCAGAGAGCCCCAAAGACCCCACCGTTCAACCCTGAGCTACAAGGATTCTCTTCTGTGCAATCCACTTGCATATAAACAGAGAGAACCCAATTCCCTTCCAGCACTGATGATGTTACCTAGCTGGGTCATGAAATGTCTGTAAGAAAACAACCAAGCTCAGAGAACACCACTATCATTTCTGAATTAGCAATATTTCACCCCTTCTCATTGTCCCAGACGAAACCACACAACCCAATACAGGTCAGAGAGCCACGTAAATCTCCGTTCTCACTCAGCAAACCCAGTTCCATTGAGTTCAAGCTTCGATAAATCATCACTCACCCGCGTGAAATTAATAAAGGGATGATTTATTGAAGCGCGCCACCCAAGAGCAGATCAAAAAAGCCAGACCCTGTCCATCAAAAAATAATCATAATAATAATACTAATAATCATCATCTAATCCCTCTGAGAATCTCTCAATCCTTACAAAATCCCAGACTTACAGCCCGAGCGGAAGAAGAAATGATCCGGCCTCCTTTGGTGTAGCAAGAAATCACTACCATAAACATGCCTAGATTCTGGTTGACCGGTGATTCCGGTAGTTCCAACTCCAAGGACATGCGGTAAGGTTGGCCGTACATAAGAACCTGTTGGGAAGAAGAGAATGATCTTCGATGTTTATTTTCAATCCATTTTTTTATTTCAATCTACATATAACAATACATTAACGGTGTGGCA